AAAATGCATCAAGAAAAATAAGTTAGTTGATTTTAATTTTTGACAATATTTTATTATGCTAAATGAAAATTCAGGGCAGTTTCATTGTTTATCAGTTTCATTTATCGCTGTTAACTATTGTTTATTATGAATGACTTCAAATGCTTGACCTAGATCATTAATTTTCCTTTCTTGGAAATTTCATAATATTTGAGATTTATGAATTCTCATGGGATTATCGAAGTTGCTCAAGTAGTAAAAATTAAACTTAAAACTTCTCTCATTACTAACATTCAAGTAAGCTGCTTGATTTGAGCTATTCTTTTTTCAATCATTCATGGCCATTAAGATTTTAGAATACTAAACTTCAATTCATACAATTGTAGTATTTTCTGATTGTAAAAATTTTATTTAGGATGAAATGTTTTTGTCAGCGGAAATTTCTTCCTTTTTTTCTTATTATTAATATTTCCGGAAGCCTCGCTTTCCTGGCTTGGCCGCGGAACATCTGCTTATCTGTTTTTCGCTGATAATAATATTTTAAATTCAAATTTGATGTCGTTTATTATCCCTATAATATCAATTCTCATTTATCAACTTCTTTTTGCTAATATTGCGAATTTGATAAGTTATCAAAATTCCACTTAATTATTACAGATAAACGTTTATTAAGATTTTCATTAAGATACTTCTGCAGTCTTAACAACTTTATGGAATTTAATTTATAAAAGCCGAACATCAATTGCAAATTGATCATTTTGATTTTGGTTCTCTTAATGAACAACCCCTCTAATTATTTGCCTGAGGATCAGCATTTCAATTATCCTTTCCTTTACCTGCTTATAGTTTACTACATAATTGTTCCAGTTCAAGTAATCGGATATTTCCCACTTCAAATTCCTTTATCACCACATCTCTCCTTTCACAACATTATTCTTTTATCTTTTCCTCAATCAATTCCCCATAATCTTTAATTCTACAACAACAAAAGGTATCGGTTAATTTTAAATACCGAAGTTGGAAGTATTCATATTGAACTACGCTTTATCGGTCTAATGAATTTCCATAATTTCTCATTTTACTTTTAGTCAAAGAAATGAAATGAAGAAAAACTTTCAATCTTCCGTTCCTTTCATATATCATATTTCATTTATTCCAGAAGTTTAAAGATGTGATTACATCAATCATAACTCCTTTCAACACGTAAATGATATTTAATCAATCGATATCTTTCTGTTATTTTAGGCTGACATATGATGTCACTTTCTGCTTCTTCTCTAATTCATTACCTTCTGATTCCTCTCTGCTATTTCAGATTGTCATATGATGTCACTTTCTGATTCCTTTCTAATTCATTATCTTCTGATTCCTCTCTAATTCATTCAAGCACATGCTATCAAAAAAATATTTGAATTGACATTAACACTTTGATTATTTGCTATCAATTTGATAGCAATATTTGACCAATGATATATTACGATATTATAAAATATCCTTGTTTTTTACTTTTGAAAAATTGCAAATATTAATGCGTTTTCCGATGTACAGAATTTAATAAAAAGAGTTGATAAGTTGTAGGAAAAATTTTCACTTGCGTCAAATTAGTTTACAGTACTTAGCTGATACTATCTAATGATACAGTACTGTAATGTTTAACATTTTTCGCTAAAATTTAAGAGACGTCATAATTCAAATTATCTATCATCGCGATTACCTTTTTCTACTGAAACCGAGTAATTTAATCACTTTAAGTGATTAAATTTTGTAAAATGTATTAGTAAAGAAGTTCAGAAAATTATTATCATTACTCTTATCTGTTTCAATTTAAATAAAAATAACCTCTACTTTTTGACATTATAGTGAATGTAGTTCATGGTTACAAAATATTAATTCATTATTTAATTAATCTATCCAGCTTGATTCCACCTGTTCTGGTTCGTTATAGAAAAGTTTTATCCTTCCATTCAACTTGATTCAACTTGATTCCATCTGTTCTAGACGTTCCGTTTCGCAGAACTTTTCATCCGATATAGAAAAGTTTCATCTTCATCGGTTATAAATAAAAATTTCCCATACAATTTGCATAAGTAAATTTTGCAATAAATCACGACATCCATTAATGCTAATATTTCTTTTTAAGTGATAGAAAATAAATTTGCATTTTTGGTAAGATTAAGCTGAGGGAAAATTTTTTTCATTATTTCTTAATTTACACAATTATATCCAGTTATGTTTATTAATTATAACTGTGAATGATTCATTCTTAGAAGTAACATTAAAATTTACACTTTATATTGGATACAGTTATTTTAAATTTTATTTGAAGATATGATAAGGCAAACTTTCAGCTTTGGTGTAATATGCTGCATTCATAATTGATTTTAAAATAAAACTATTATCTTATCATGGATAAGGAATAAAGTAAGAAATAATGATCAGTTGTTCATAAAAGAAAGATATATGTTGTAACTAAATAATTCAACATGATAAAATTGAAATTCAAAATTTTCGTCATTTCTTTTGTTTTTCATAATGATTGTAAATAAAATCAAAAGAAGAGCTCACCTTATAACTTTCAATTTTTTTTGACTTCTAATCAATTCCTTATGGAAAGTATCGTATTTAGTAAACAAATTGATTAATTTCAAACTAATCTAATTTGAACTAACTCAATCTATCATCCTAAATTTTATATAAGTAATTCTCTCACCAACTAATTTCTCCAATAATAATATCTTATAATATAAATTGTAAGCAATATGTTTCGAAAATTTGTAATTGATTTTATTTCTATAAAAGCAAATACAGGATACGAAATGAAAAATTTGTCTGAGATTAAGTGGTGTGGAAAATTTTGTCTCTCTAAAATTTGCGTAAATGTATCTATCTGTTTTGAAAAGCTACCGAAGGATAAATATAAATCATTTCAATTTAATCTTCACATGTGGAAAGTATTATCGGTTAAGTGACATGTATTTTTCTTTTGCTATCATATTTAAGACTACTTTGGAAACTGTTCCATTCCCATTTACACTAATGGAATATATTGAAATGAATTACAATCTTTGTTATCTTAGATAACTCTAAAATAAGAATCGTTTGAATCGTATGATATTGAACATGAAGTAGTTACTCTTCCCACAGCAATGCATTATGTTAGTATTCGAAAATTCATTAAAGTTCTATTTTGACACATCTCTTCCATTCTATTTTGACACATCTCTTCTATTCTCATATCTAACAATCCAAATTGATGCCACCCATTATTACATTCATCTTTTCTTTCATTACATTTCTTCATTTTTCAACTTTCTTTTTCAATGGTTTTTGAAATATTATGTAGGATTATTTGAATAGTAATGACATAATTTTTGCTTTTGTTTTTTCCTCCTATTTATTCATTCAATAATTTTCTACTAAAAAAAAAACTATCATTGCTTTTATTATCATTATCGTTGTCATTGTCACTATTATCACTATTATTTATTATTTATTATTATTATTATTACTATTATTATTATTATTACTATTATTATTATTATTATTATTATTATTATTATTATTATTATTATTATTATTATTATTATTATGAATTATGATCAGGATTTCCTTGCAGAAATGCTTGACTTCTACAAAGTTGAACAATATTTACGACAGCTTTATTTTTCTTTACACTTTTATTTTCTTTGAATTCATTCATTATAATATGTCCAACTAATGCTTACTTATTATCGTACCCTCAGAATATACATATTTTAAAAAATTATGAGAAAGAAAAATAATTTAAAATTAATTTTTGTCCAATATTGATTTCTGATAATGGTTTAGTTAATTTAATAGTTTTAAATTTCAATTTTAAATTCTAATCGCTCAATTTCAATTTTTTCTTTTTGATATTTATCCAAATAACACTTAATTTTTCTCTCTTTCATTCTTGATAGGTAAAAAGTCAAATGATCTCAAACTGATTAACAATTTGATAGGCGAATAAATTGAGTAAAATGAAGAAGAAAAAGATTTTGGATTTGTTTTAAAAGAATTTCTATTTTATTCATGTGCTAATGAATTCACATCATAGCTATGTTGTATCGGTGTTATGAATACCACCTGACAGCCTAATTGTTGTTAAAATTGGATGAAAGTGATTTGGCAGTTGAAATTGCTAGATTGACGTTTCAGTAATTGTGCACGAATCTGACGACATGACACAGAACTATTTCATCTGAAATTTTAAATTCATCCCTCTAAATTCTAACTTTACACATTTCGAAATTTGTGTCAGAAAAATCTTTTCATAGATTTCTTTTGACATCAACATAAACATCAAGCTTAATTCACTGAAAGGCCCTGCTTTCAGCTTTCAATTTTTCATCTTTCCTTTTTACGGTTTATACCACATATAATTGTTTTCATTTTGCATGGCTGATTTAATTTTCATTTAAATAAGACAAGAATTTCCATATCTAAATTATTGTTAGAGGAGATAATTTAAGCAGATAACTTCAGAGAATGCTTAAAATATTGCTAAAAAGAATCAATAATTTTGTTTTGAATTTGAAATTTGTGGATTTTTTAAAGTTGCTCAATATATTTACTTTATACGTAAACCACAAATCTGATTATTACATTAATCTGTAAAATTTCCTAATTGCTTGCCTTTTTTTTTAGAGTTCAACTTAGTATGAACTTGGAAGGATTATAGTTCACGACTATATGATATTTGTTTTGTTGTTCGAATTGAATAATGAATGCATAAAATGAGTTGGTGCAATCTGATATGAACATTTCTCCACATTTGCAACACCGAAAGTTTCTCCCTTCTAGCATGAAACAAAATTTCTTTCAAATTTGAAATTTTCAGGTGATAATGTAATAAACTTAATTAATTAATGTAAGATTAAGAATTAATTTAAATTCCATTCAAAAAAAAAAGGGAATGAATTATGAAGAATTACATTTACCTGTTTGTTTATTTATTAAGTAGTAAATTCCGCCTTATTATTTGCCACTTATTTACAGCAATGGAAACCGATGAATTGGCTGAAACGAAGTGGGAGACAAATATTCAGCCACCAACAATCGACGAATTGCGTAAATATACGAAAAATGTGTTTAGTTCCAAATACATCAAATATATGTATTCGAAGTTCAAGAATGTCCGTTTTATTCTTTCATTAGACAATGGCTTGCAAAAAACCTAACTGAATCTTAAAATGTATGGAAAAGGCAGATCGGTAGTACAAATCCGTAGTATATAATACGTCTTCATAATATAATAGAATATCCTGAATATGGAAACGGTAGAAGAGGCAAATTGGTAGTACAAATCCGTAGTATATAATACGTCATTCATAATATAATAGAATATCCGGAATATGGAAGCGGTAAAGGATGGTAGTTTAAAGTAATGTTACGGAGACATCACATAATTTATTATAATTGCAAAGAAGTTTAATATATTGTAATGAAATAATCAATATGCTTATATGTTATAACTGTTAATGATTATATCTATAAGTAATGATGAAATCGATGCAGGAATGTCCGACAGGCAGAATGCGCGTAGCTAAATTTAAGAAAATGTTTGGTTCCTATTTTCCATCCTGTCTCGATGAAGAGTATATCCTGAGGCTATTTACAGCCTTTGCTAATGGTAAAGAGGAAATAACTTTTCAGGTGCTAAAATTTATCTTTCCTTTTTTAAATTTTATTCTAGCAAAATTAACTCCAATAATGTTAAAGACAAAAAATAAGCGAAATGGAATGAATAATTTTAAATCGATCGCTTGGTTATTGCTTGATTGCTTTAAGATTACCAAAATCAGAAGAAAGTAGGTACCTATGTAATAAACTATTTATTAGGCTACTGAGCTTTGCCGCTTTATATTGAAATACATTTAAAAGTAAATGTGTCGGTATCTAACAACATTTTAATACTTATTTCTTTATTTTATATTTTATTGTTGACTGTTTATTACTGGCCACTACGTCATATATATTTTAAATTTAAGAAATAATTTTAGACAAAGAGCTTCTTTCTGAGTTCAAAAAGAATGGCATGAACTTATAGTTAATATTAACTTGCTAATAGACAATGCAAGAAATAGTCTAAGAAGTCTGGTGGGAAGAAGAAGGTGGGAAGAAGATTAAGAAGAAGAGTCTGGTGGGAAGAAGATTAAGAATGTAATGACCGGCCATCAGAAATGAACAATGTTGATAATTAATTGATAATTAACCGTCAGTTTTTATTCTCATACAATTACAACAAAAGTACCGAAGAATTTAATGCCGGTCATATTGAGATTTTCCGGTAGACCGATAATCGAAGAAATCAAAATGCGGAAGTGTCGCTTTGTTTTATAATAAGCAATAAGAAGCCGTTTTTTGATTGAATTGTTTCATTTAACAAAAAATGGATCAATGGTTGAACGGAAAAAAGCCATAAAGCATAGTTAAAAGTTTGTTTTGCCTCAAAAAAGACTGCTGTCACTAATTGGTGATTTGCTGTCACTACAAATTTCTGAATGCCGACCAAATGAATATAATTGAGAAGAATTCTTAGCAAATCGTAGGATAGTCCGAATGTAACCCTCCAGGTGACATTGGTAATCAGAAAGAATCCAATTACTGCCAACAGTAATGCAGAACCAAATGTCTAAGTCGATATTTCAAAGGTCAACTTAGGACACAGAGTTTTGTTTCATCTGCCATATTCATTTGTTCATTTCCTCAATCAAGCAGGCGGACGAATTGCTTCAAGGAAAATATTTCCACAACCAGCTTGCTGTAGGAAAAATTTGTCATATCCCAATGTGCGGGTTTTCTCGCCACAAATAAATTTATTATTCTTAATTAGTCCTTTCTATAATCAATAAGGGTTGCTTTGAGCGCACTTAAAACGTTTTCAATTCACTATTCCAAAATGAAATTACTTTTGCACAAAAGTTATCTTGAGCGTCATTAAATAGTTTATATTGTTGTAGAAGTGATTGATGTAAGATCCAATGTTCTTTTTTTATTGATAAAATTTGGGAGTGAGATTTTGTCTGATCTTCAGGATCTCATGGAATCATTGACATTACTTTGTTCGCCAACGCCGGAAGCAAATGCAATCTGGACGATACGAATGATCAAGGGTTCCGATGTTGAAACTATCACAGAGGATGTATGAGCTGTTCCAAATATTTTTAGAATTTCTGATTAAGAGTGGCACTTTTGATAAAGCTGATAATTTGAGGTCAAAAATAAGGTTTAACTTATCACCATTATCATTATTATAGGTTTTGACTTTTGACATTTTCAACTATTTCATTTTCTTTTTGCCATTTTAGGTTTTTTTCAAAACTTTAATGCCCTTAATTGAATTAAATTATGCTATTGAGATGCAATTGTACTCAGAAAAGAATTTCGACACTTTCATTTAACTAATTTCTATTATTTAGGATCTGGTAGCTTTTGTAAAATCGGTTTTTCGATTAGCAATGATTGAAAAATCAAAGCGTGACAAAACATCTGATTCCACTTTTGATATGGTCGATAGATCATTGCAAAATGTTGCTATATATCGCTCTCACGGAACATTTAAGGTATTGTTGCTCTCTTGAGCTCCTTATCGTCCCAATATTGACTAAGTAATTAATTGGAATAGAATAAAAATGATATTTAAAATTGGACATTATCGAAATCAATTGTAGGCACTGGATAAGGATGGAAATGGTTATATTTGCAAGTCTGATTTTGTCAACTTTTTCCAGGTTCATTTTTCACATATTATTCTCAAATAGTCAGTCATAAGATTAGTGTTAAATGTTCTTTTCTATTCTATTAAATTTATCCGCTGTAATCTATGCTAGAAGAATTGTTTAAAAAACATAATGAGAAAGGGAAAAATTTTTGAAAAATTTATCTTTTTTAAATCGAATTTTATAAATACAACAAAAATAATCGATAGGAAAAGTTGAATTTTTAAATGAAATTCAATTTTCTTTCTTGTTTTTCAGCAAAATGACTATTTGGATCCAATTTTCATGAAATCATATACGCGCTTAAAAATACGATAGCATTGTGCGCAGTTCGAAAATGGAAAATAATTTAGTTTTGTGATCCTACAGTATTATCTTTTGTTGTTAATTGCAATTAACGTGGAAACAGGTAAGATCAGAAGAAGAAATGATAATGTTATTGTCATTTTATCTTCGTGCAAATGCACTTTTATTAACAAATGAGAAATAATTATGAAAAAAATTTGACAAATTTCTCAATGTTTAATGTTTCGATTTGTATCAAATAATGAATGATACGACACATCCAAATTTTGCAGATTATCAAATTTTCAATAAACCCAATGAATCACGTATGAGATATGTACCGGAAATATTCCAATTATCCTTGGTATATGTGCCATATGATCGTAGAATTAATATGCTAATAAAATTATGGAAACTGATTAAAATTTGTTTCAGTTGAAAATATTTTATTCGATTGATATTTGTAAATGATTTCGTTTATGATATCAGTATGAATAGGGAGAAAGATGCAGGAAATTCTACGTTGAAAAAAAGAGTAGAAAAATTCTTCACCAATAAGATGTTAGCCAATGGCTCATTTTGAGGTCATTTTTGAGCAGCTAAAGAACTCAACTAATGAGATGTTTATATCAAGCAAAACAGATATCTTGGAAATAATTAGTGATAATTTGAGGAGAAGATATTTACAAATATCTATTTCATTTGTGTTTATATGATCATTTCATTTTTTAAATTTTATTCATAAAAATGATTCCTTTTCTTTTTCATTTCTTTATTTGAGAGAGAAAGAAAAGAAAGAGGAAAAAAGAGAGAGAGGAAAAATCTTCGAATAATTAATGTAAAAATATATTATCTCAATGTGGGCAAAGTAACATATCTCGGGAAATGGTGACCTCTTCTTCTATCGAAATATGATACATATCGTTCCCTTCTCAACGAGCTTCTCTACAAATAAATATCGCACACATTTTATTGCACAAAACAACATATTTCATTATTTAAGTAATATTTTTGGTTTGATTAATTAAAAAATACCATACACACATGTGAAATGAAATATGGAATTTTTCTTGTCCAGCAAAAGTATTCTCCCTTATCAATTATATGTCTTGAAAAAGAAAATCAATCAATCAATAGATCGAACTTTGAAACCAAACTACTTTAAAATACGAAATGCTGTAAAGTGCAAAATGGACTTTTGAAATAAGAATTACAAATAGAATATGAGAGTGTACATTGTTTATACATTTTATTGATCAGTTAGTTAATTATAAAAATGTCAAAAAGGATATCAGAATAGAAAACTATCCAGAATCATCCGGCATGTTACCGTAAATTAGTCGTACATCACAATTAATTATTTTACATTTACATAATATTATGACGACTAGTGGTACGAAATATAGCACGATACTCCATCGATAAAGTAGATATGACCATAAATTATACAATGATATTTGCTGACTATTTTCCAATACTGAAATATGCTATCATTTAATTAAATTATCAATTTATCAATATAATTATCCCGGTACAGTTATATCACTATTCCCATTAGAATTTTGCTCCATTTACATCAATTCCATTCCTTCCTATTTTATTCCATAAATATCTGTCCTAAATTTCTAATTTAGAATTCTAAAATTTTTTTATTCTATTACTGTTACTCAATGAAAATGATTGTAAATATTATATTCTATTCCATTATATTATAAATAATTCATAGATTTGCATTAAGAAAAGAAAGATAGTAACCGGAAACGGAGTGACTTGGTATCAGATTACTGCTTTCCGAAGAGGAAAAGAGAACTGAAGTGGAGCTATAGTCGCAATTAGTACCATCATTACAAAATGGTTGTAAATTATTTACATCACCAGTGTATAAGGTATTACTGGTTATTATGGGTAGCAGTAACGACAGCATATACCATCGAAACATCGCATCTGAAATGAAAACGTTCGTTCAATAACTGCCACACACTTCCCATTACTCGATCAGCAAAAAGCAGGCTAAAGTAAAACAAATAATTGAAAATAGAAAATAGAAAATTAAAATTGTAATACAAAAAATAAAAACGAATTAATAATTAGATTATTGATTTAAATTGAGCGTATAAAATCGGAAGCAGATAAAAATAATCAATAAAAGAGAATGGAAATGATAAATTAACCGTTAACGAAACGAGTACCAGGCCTATGATTTTCGTAAGTTAAAGATTTGAATTACATTAATTTTCATTTTCTCCTTTTTAATTTTAAGCCATTTTTTTGAAACGGTTGATTCTAACTATCGAGTGCATTAATGAATAAATGACTGAAGAAGAGTTGAGGATTATGTTCGGAGGATTATGTTTTATTATTTGAAAGAATGAAGTGGTAGAAAACCCAAAAGGCCTAAGTGACAGACAGATCAGCTGGTATGATTTGCAATGTGTAAACAAATGTGATTAAATTTTTCCGAAGAAAATGGAATGATTATGCAAGAATGAAATGAAAAACATTAGCAAATATGTCAATCCGTAAAGCATCAAAAAATAAATACGATTAACAACAGAGAGAGAGAGAGAGAGAGGGAGAGAGAGAAAGAAAAAACTAATACCTGATAACAGAGACGGAAAATTACAATGATGATCACTTATTCTCACCTCACCATAAAACCATCTCGAAACTATCAGTAAGAAAATGTCTTGAAATTTTCAAATTAAAATCATTATAGGCCTTGAAAACATATATAACAAGTTGACAGTCAGTTTATAATTAATTGGAAAAGATAGCTTAATTACTTTTTAAAAGAAACTCACTGAGAATCGAACTTTCAACTATAAAATTGATTGGAAATAATGAAAATTAATTTATAAAATCATTTATAAAATTTTCAAATAATTTAGAAACTTATCTTCGAATTTTTGGAAAAAATAGGAAATTAGTGAATAAATGAAAAATCGATTATTTCATTAAAACATATACAAAACAAAACGAAAATAATTCTTCAATTATTTTCTGAAGAAAAATATCATCAGGAAATGAAGTTAACCGTTCCGTTTCAGTGAGCAAGTATGGATGGATGGCAATGAATTGGATGAAGGACACATGACGTTTTATTGCATGGGAATTTAGATGACCTAAATAAGGAAGATGAAATGTTTCATTTCGAATATGGTTGACAAAAATGTTTTACATAAAATGGACAGTGTGGTTTGAATAGATTAAGCATATTTTAGATAGAATGAGATTTTTCAAAAGTGTCATTTAAGTGGAAAACAATTGGCTTGTCGTTGAAAGCGTAAACAAAATATAAAATACTACAAACATCTTCCTATCTTCTCGTTCTTTCTTCCTTATTTTGATGATTTCAGATTTGCAAATATTACGAAATTTTATTCTCTCTCGTTATAGATGCTATATATTTTTTGATTTTTCATGCTATGATTAATGTTTCAGAAATTAAATTAACAAACAATTTTGATGTAAAAAAATTGTCGCAATGAATTAGAAGTGAATGAATTGGAAATATAATTTAAAGATGACGGAATGAATGAAAAGAGCAAAAATTAACCTAAATAGGCCTAGACAAATCACTTCATATGCATTATCAAATTATAAATGAAAAGAATAAATGAAGCATATTGTGAAACTGGTTACATAAAGTTAATACATATCACCATGGATGAAATCAATTTAAATGCGCCGATAAGGCAGAACTACGATTAGGCAGAATTATGCTATTAATATTAAATATTGATGAAGGAAGAAATTGCGAATTTTTATTGATTTCATATCAAAATTCATTATTGCTACTTGAAATGATCGGCGTAAAATGCATGAATTCAATTAAGAGTAATGCTGTTATTCCGTTATCAAACAATCGAACTTATTATCACTATATAAAGATATAATAAGATATTTATAATATTCAATTGATTAATATTATTCTCATTAATAGAAAGAACAGAAAAATAATAGGAAAAGACAAAGGTAACAGATATGAGAAGTGAATATGATAGGCTGAAGATGACAACTGACACAAGAATATAACGAATAATGGGTAGAACATTAGCTCTTGCATATATCGATAATATGTTAAAGAATGAATGATAATAAGATAGTACCTTAATTAAGCGAGATGAAAAACAAAAATATGATGAATGAAAAAATTTTTTTTAATGATTTAATTATATGAAACATAGTATAAGATCAAATGGTTCATAATAATTCATAATTATTTTTAAAAAAAACAATACAAACATTGTCGATTAATTATTAATATTTGCTCAAAAGATAGTATGGAAATTTTCTTTTTCTTTTTTCAATATAAAATATTTGAATTAATTAATTAATCATAGTTTTAAAATGGATATATTAAAAATGTTCAAATTAATAGTGTTATTTTATCGAAAAATCTTTTTATCAAAGGATTATTATTTGACGAATAAACATGGAATTGAGGGAACTGCGAATTAAAAGTAATTTTAGAGACTTCTTTTGGAGCATTTAAGTTTTATTGTACGAAAATTTGGAATATACATTACTTTATTTGATAATTTGATAATTTTAAATGAATTGAGAAATCAATTAATTAAATAAGAATTTACAACAGCTGCAAATAATTTTTACTACCAATAGTTCAACATATTTAGACATTAACAACTAATGATGTATTTCTCTAAAACATTTGTACAAAAAAAATCATCGACCTAAATTATTTCTGCTAAAATTTACGGATCGCTCATTTTACTCTCTCTCCTCTGCTTCACTATTTGTTTTTAGATCTCTGAGAAAGATAGAGGAAAAAGTTTGTAAAATTGAGTGAAGATAAATTTTCAAATTCTTCAATGACCGGAACTGTAACACTACATGAAAAAGAAAAACAACAAAAGGGTAAGACTGGTCAATAATAGTGGGCACTATACACTAAAGATAGGAATAACTCTCTCTTCTCTCTCTCTCTCTCTCACTCTATTTATGAAAGTGATTTGATTGAAAAGGTCAGCTGGATGATGTTTGTGTCGGATAATTATAAATCAATTCTTTTAATAAAAAAATGAGAATGGAATGTATCAAAGCAGAAAGGAAGCGTAATATTAGTTTTAAAATTGTTGACAGTAAATAATTTTTCTATGAAAATTTCATTTAATTTAAAATTGAATTTGATAAAAATGAGTCAAACTGAAAAAGAAAAAATGAAATGTTGTAATAATGAAAAAGTGTCAATGAAAAATAGCACTGAAAATAACAACTGATAAGCAATAATTGGAAGAAGAAGAAATGATAGAAAGAAGGGAGGAAAATAAGTTTGAAGTGCAAGTAGAGGAATTTTTTGAAAATTTAAAAGAAAAATTCCTTTGGATGATTTGTCTCTCAGTTATTACATCTACTAATCATTATCATCATTTCTCTCTTCTCTGCTTAAGTACAAAGTAATTATAATTCTATATTTAAAATCAGTTGAATGATTTATTATTGGCTATTTTATTTTTACCGAATTATTTCGTTTTATTAATATATCCCAATTTATCGCCTTAATTACTAATTATATGTTATATGAAAGGTTTCAGTAATTATTGTGGAAATTCTTCGAATAAGTTTGCTGTAAGTTAAAAAAGAAACTTGAAAATGATTATTAAAAAAATTTATGTTTACAACAAATGACTCAAATGATAAAATATCAATAAGTGGTATATGTAATGATGATAACGAATTGTGATACTTGTTGAATGGATAATTAGTAACGATAATTTAGAACAGTAAATAATTTTGCTACTAATGAACAACGATTGATAGAAGTAATGAATGATGATAGAAGTAATGAATAATGATAGAAGTAATGAATAATGATTCATGATTGCATTATGATAAATTCATCAAATAATTAATTTTCATTAAACAATGAAAAATGGAAGTAGAATAGAGACCTGAAAATATTAGTTAAAGTGTAATTTCATAAATCGATATATCTAAAATAATTTTTGTTTTCGTACAAATAGAATTTATAATTATCAAATCTTAATTAAAACAAACAAAAATGGAAAAATTGATAGAATTTATGTGAAGAGAGAAGGAATTATAAGCGTAACATATGAAAGAAAAATATCAACCAAAATTGTTAATTAATTAAAAGGTGACAGCTTCGAAGGGACACAAATGACAACAGAATGATGTTTGTTTACTTTCTCAACCAATAAACTTTTTTATACTAACGATAAAAGAGATGAAATTTTAGCGCAAAAGCATTTTCTATTTTGCTTTTTGAATTAAATTAGCACATTGTAAACGAATGAATTGGAAATTTGCATATTACAATGAAATTGATAAAATTCAAATTTGAAGAGAAAAAAGAATATGAGGAATTGATTGATTTATCAGAGTATAAATACAAAGCGGATAAATTGAAATTTGATTATAGAGTAAGAAAGAGAATAAGAAAGAATAAGAGGTATAATGTATAATAGTGGTTATGGGTAGAAGGAAGAAATATGGTTGGGATGATGATGACGACAGCGAGTGATGTGCTTATTGGTTTGTTTGTTGTTTATTTAGTTGCAATGCAAAATATCGGAGAGAGAATTGAAAGAGGCTGAAGTGACGAGAAATCAATGGTGACAATTATTTGTTCATATAAGGTTAGGTCAATTGATAAATGAAATACTTCTTTTTTATAATTATGAAATATTGAAGAATGATAGGGAAGAGAAATGAAGTAAAAATTCATCTGATTTACATTCCTTTCCAAGAAAGAAACCTAAAATTGGTTTACGTGACATTGAAAAATTTTGAAATGTTTCGATTCATTCTTTTGTTTATTTTTGCCTAATTTCATTTAATACTTGAATTTAAAAACAAAATAAACGAAAACATGTAGGATGAAAGACAGGAAGAACGAAGGAAAATTCTAAAATCACATTTCTATGCTTCATTTTAGTATTTTGAAGTGTTAGCTGAGAAAACTTACAATATACGAATTAATGATAACGAATGATCAACTAATTTCGAAGCATTTGAAATTTTTGGAAAATTTTGAAAAATGAAGTGTTACCAGGTTATCTAACAACAATTTCGACCTCAGATGATAATATCAAAGTCAAAAGATCAATTCTCTGAAATGGACAGTTTCATTTCGTCCCTCGTGCTACTGTTGCCGTTAAGCAAGAAGGAGGAGTTTCGAAGATTGACCGGTGGCGGGGTTCTTTTTTGATTCCGTTTGGGATTTATAATGGTTTTGGGCTGAACAGATCGATCAATTTCGGGAGACGCGGAGAATAATTCAGAAACAGTAACCAACCGTTAAACGAAGTTGAAATTGGGTGGCAATAACTGTTTATTAACTGAAACAACTGATATGGGAATGGAATATTGTTAAGAGATTGATTCCTCTTCGAGAACCTAAATTTTAAAGCAGCTATTGGATTAAATTTTCAGATTGGACAAATAGTAATTAACAATTTCAGATTCTTGTTCCCTCGTACATGTATTCGGCATTGCAGTCATTTTGTTGTTGTTGTACTGGAGAAGGTAATGATGATGAAGGACCGCTGATAAACGATACCGATGGTGGTCATTTTGGAACAGCTGCGTTAGTTTGCTTCTGACTCTTCTATTATCTCATCCTAAATATTCAATGTTACAAAAGTTGTAAAGATGAAGTACTAGGGCACAAGCGCATGAAAGTATACTTTTCTTCGTTTGTTTTTTTCTTAATATTCAAGGTATTACTTGTAAAAAAACTCTGATATACTAGTTGGTAAGTTTGAGTTGTTCTGTTTGCTAGGGGAACATCTGATTTATGTAGCATAGAAATGATTATCATAAAATGAAGAACTATTCTGCCATATTCATTGATTGATTTCCAATAATCTAACGGTTTAAGAAACATTGAGCAGAGTTAATTCAACGGTTTAAGAAACATGGAGCAGAGTCGCAATCAAAGTTTAGTAGAGATTAATATAGAGTAGGTTAATATCTTAGTTTTGTAGCGGCCAAATTTCTGACTTGATAAGAAAGTAGAAAAGAGATATGGTGATCCAATTTCTTATCTCTTTTACAACGATATTAAAATATCGCTTTTTCCATAAAAGCTTTTAGAGATTTGACGACCATCTCTGTAGAAAATTACGATTTTATTTCGTTATTATTTGTTGAGTTATTTATTCTCTTAGTATTCGGAATTGACATTCGCATGTATCTGTAGGTTATATCTTCAGAACTTGTGATTCATCTAATCGTTTTTGGGTGAACGATTCGGATGAGCACATGATACATCCTCGTACCACATCCAATGGTTCTGGTAACTTTCGGCAAGGCAACGATGAAGATGAATTATTAAACCAAATTCTAGAAACTACGCAGCAAGTAACATTTTTATTTCTAAAAACATTTAATCAGTATTTTTTTAGAACGCGAAAGAGAGTCTCATCTCCTGGAATTGTTTCAAAAAGGGTTTTAGCTTAAGGAGGGTTAGGAAAGTATCAAAATTTCTGTAGAATCCTACATATTTAATGCAATCAAACATTCATCTCTTTGAAACGACCATAATATCAAGGATGTATTTGTTTTATCATTATTTGGTTCTAAGTGTTAGAAAGGATTGTAAATTATATTATAATTTGTTTTAACGTAATTCATTGTATTGTTAAAGTAATGTAAATATTACTGCATTTAATATTTTCTAGAATAGATAAGTAGTTGTTTAATTGAAAGACTGTCGATTAATATTGCTATTTAAAAATAAACAATCAATAATAGAATGTAAGAAAAAAAAATGTTTCTAATTTTTTTCAGAATATAATAGATGTTGCAAATATGGACGGTACTACAACGCCTTGTAAAGAAGATTTATCGAAAGCCCAAAGATATAGCGATGCAGTCAGACAGCATGATTTACGAATTCGGAAGCAAGCTCTTAATACGACTGCAGAAGATGGTACTATAAATTTGCCTATTATTGTAGAGAAAAATTTAGAATAGGAAATGAAAAAGATCATTAAATTGTTTAATATGTGGCACGTGAAGATCTTTCCTAATTTCGTTGAAAAACGTAAAATTTTCCCTGTTTCTTCTTTGTTAGTCTGTTCTGAGCTTTTTGGTTGCATACAATTTTTTTCTTCTTTTTTTCTCAAAAAAGGAATCAACTCCGTACCTTTTTCTTGCCTTTTACATCTAGCTTTTGTTTATTCAGATTCTGCAATTCTGGCTGAATTTTGGAGTAGTCTTTGGGAATGAAAATATAATCATCTGAGTATCGATCACCGCAGGTTTAGCTACTGATCTATCGTTTTAGATTCGTGTCTCTTATCTGATGTTGGCCAACGAGTGGTTGAGGTACTGCAGCGACCAGCCCAAACTTTGGCTGTGCACTCTGATTTGCGAGATTTTGCCAGGAATATGTCCTCTGCTGTGGCAAATGGTGTACAGATTGAACACAAGCAGGATATCCTTATTCACATGACTTTTTCAGATGAATAATTTCGATATGAATTAATTAACGAAGAAGTCTATCTTCAGATTATAATTTAGTTTTCGAATGTTTGAAAAATTTGCTTTAATTTGTTTATTTTCGTCTCATCATTGAAATCGTTCAATAATGCGATAGCTAATCAATTTTAAAGAAAAAAATTCTCAGTGAATATTTTTTTATTTTTTTATCGATTCCTTAGTTTGAGTTTTGAATTATTTACTTTTCTCTAGTATCAACTCACTGGAGCAATTTTTTTTTCCCTTTAGCTCTTGTACAGGTATTGTGTTTTTCAACCATGATTTTTATATTGAACGCTACAATTCGCCTAGACTTCTGAACCTTTTGGGCGTTTATGCTTGTTTGCTGATCTAATTGATTTTTTAAAAGCTATTTTTAGAATTTTGTTGATGAGAAATATGAGCAACAAAAGCCATATTAACTTGTTACCAAAGAGATTAGCTTATTTGTTGCTTCGTTTCATGTGATCTTATTTTGTGCCATTTCTATAACTAGCGGTTTCATTGTTTGCAAAAGAAGACTAAATTGCCTGAAGTTTTACGTTTTTTCCTATGAAAATCTTGGCTTCATGAAACTTCAAATGTCAACAGCAAAAGGAAATAATTATTTTATTTTTATAAGAAGTTATAGTCGGAATAGTGATTGGAATGTTTAAATAGAAAAGATGGTAGATTGGGTGCCTTCCATTAATTCATTCCATCTATACAGATGGAATGAGTGACATTATTCTTTATCCTCAATTTCTTCTGATGACTAATATCTGGTAAGTATATTTATATTTTGGACATGGGCAATGAAACGACAGCAAGGTGGTGATTTGGCAACTACTTCTGAGGTTTGATTTTTTTTCTTTTTAACGGAGTTATGTTTTACTAATTTTTCAATATTGTGGTAATTCTTGATCGGCTTGTACCGTTGATAGGAAGAGTTCGTCCTGATGGAAGGTATTATCTAGCAATTACATGTCCGGTTAGTTAAATGTTTTCTGCTTTTCAGGTAACGTTAAATTCCGTCGTCATGATTTCTTCTAAATATAACAGCGTATTTGAAGTTTTTTGATATATATGCCATAGTTCTAAAATACAGTACTCTTGGAGGGACAGATAGAAGAGAGATTTTTAGGGACCAAAACTAGTAAATTTCTATTGAAACTATTGTCACATTTCTATAATATACATGTAGGGCAAGTTTGAAAATTTTTTCTAGAGGGTGAGAGTTAGATATCTCCAACTACTATAATGTCTCCTAGTAAAAAAATATTTGCTTTAAAAATAAAATAGAATACGTTGGAATTATCGTGGACTACCAAACTATATTTGGACATTCCTGCCATTTTTGGTTATTTTAGTATTTCCCCTTTCAGTTTTGCAAGCAATTTGAAATAATTTGTAGTGATTTTCTTATTGTTGTCTGCTTAACTATTTCGCTTATCCGTTATTTTTGCTCAGTTTTATCCGTATGCAATGCTTTGTCTCTGTTTTTTATTTGTTTTTGATAACTGAAAATATTTCGCTTTATATTATTTAATTAACTAGAATGTTTCAGCTAATCCATCTTGAAATTGTGTGCAATTTGTTTTAAATGAATGAGCTTTTGAATATAACTTATCATTACTTGGCTGAAATGCGCGCAAGAATGATTTCATTTCCGTGGTAGATCGACGATGTACTATGCAACATTCAGTAAATTCGTTAACTGGTTGACAAATCTGAAGAATTAACTGGTGAACGGACACTGAAATACTAAAGAAAAGGAAGATGTGAAATGTCAAAGCTCAGTTGATACATGGGATTAAATTAGAATGGGTTGAGGATTCAATTTAGTTGGGCAATAATCAATATTGTTGATTACTTTTTGAGATTTGGATGATCGAATTGAAAGCTAAGTTAAATGAAAACGGCATGCTCAGACAAACTCTTATAAACTTACATAAGTTTCCGGAAAGGATATTTCTTTCCGATTTCGGTGGAATTGTGTAATTTTCGAACATTAGTGTACAATAAAATATTGTCAACTTCAGTCAATGTTCCAGCTTCCGGTTTGCTCGTCGCTAATACGGCATATCTTCGGACTTCCGGAAACGTCTGGTATCAGCGGCAAACAAACCGCAGCCGCAAGTTGGTTATATGCGTAAATATCAGTTCCATTGGGATTTTTCTGATTTGGCTATAAGTTTCATTGAAGTATGAAAAAAGCAACAAAAACGATTGAATTTAATTTAGCAAAACGGATATCTCAAAATGATGCGCAGGAAATTGAAGGGACTTTTCCGTATTTTCAAGTTGTTTCCAACTTCCAATAATCACTTCAGTCTTCTTGCAAAATTTTCATTAATTTGTCGAAATCTATTGACTTCAACTTCAGGGCACATAAATTATGCCGACTGTTGCTAGAATCTGATCTGCAGAAATAGTGTTGGAATTTGAGACTTCCGCCGGATGTTCTCTGCGTTACACACCTCTTTTCTGTTTAGGTGAAATAAAATTCGAAAATTTGAAATCATATATTTGTCATCATTTCAATCGATCATTATTTCTGTCTTTTGCCTATTTCTTCATTGTTTTTCCACTCTTCCTTCTCTCATTATCCTTTTCCAGTAAAAAGGCGAAATCTAAGGTATTCATTCCATCATTAGCTATTGATAAGTGAATTCGTATTTCAAAAAATTTGCAGTAAAATATAAATCCAGCAGTTTGAAATTTTTTCTAATCTCTCATTTGCATCCATTTTAAATTAATATTCATTTCACTGTTGAATACGCGTGTTAGCCCTATTTTGTATTTTGATGCTGTTTTCTGCGAAGTCTTAATGAAATATCTTATAATAAGCAGAATGGCTAATACTATCAATTGATAATGATAAATCTAATATAAGTAAAATTTGGTAATCTTACTAGATGATATAAAATTTAACCTTCATTTCACACCTCTAAATATTTGTTATTTTACAATTCCTTATGTTATATGATGTAATATTGTAGTGATGATGAGAAATATTCGCAGCATATGATTTTAATGATCAATTGATAATGATAAGCACTGTGATACTTCAAAATGTAATACTATAAGGCATTATTCATGAGTACTGGAATGTGATACGAGAAGTTTGTGTATGATTTGAGATTTCTCGCGATATTGGGAGCAAAATAGAGACAGAAATAGTTCTGTTGTGTGTAAAAGCTTATGCAAAATATATTAGTAATAATTAAATCATTTAAAAATTTCTTGACTTTGCTGACTGCGATATTTTAATTTACAAAAACTAAAGCTATGAATTAGCTTTTTGAAATATCTATTGCTTGAATTTCTAGAGCCATACGAAAGGTTGAACTGCTCCTAACAATGAATACTTTCATTCGTCCAATAAACGAAGACTAATTAAAAGGTTAAAAAAGTTCAATGGTAAGATTAATCTGATTGTTGTATAATAATATTTGATTATTTTTTGTCAACTTTAAAAAGCCTTTTATCATGCTATACAGATTTATAAATAAAAGGCATAAATTAAGAAAGGGAGGTATTTCGAATGAGAATTATTAAAGACAGATAGCTGAGGTTTAAGGCTGACATTTTAGGACTTCGAATTAAGGTAATAATGCGATCACACTTAAATATGTTTTATGCCATTCATTTTTTAATATACACTTTAAACCTTAAATTTTATTTTATTTTTTAAGATTTAAAGGGAGAAAATGTTACACAATGGTTTATTCCAACGGAAGATACTCAATGGTGAACTATTTAAAAGCTCGGCATAAGAATGAAATATTTCTCTCTATTTCAATTAAGCTTTACTGAATAATTAATTAAATTCTGGTTAGAGTTTAGAATAATTGTGCTGGAATTCTCAGTTAGAAATAATCTTATGATGTCAACAATATTCAGAAAGTAGAAAAAAACAATGTTATAATAATTATGTGATCGTTGAGTTTTATTGTTTTAGCAGTCCGAATGGGTATTATTGATTTATTGTTCCGAGAGTTTCGATGAGATCTTAATCTTTAATATCTTAATCCATCCGAAGATATGTGATCGCACCTAACATATTTCGTATGAGCATGCAAATGTGTCTGTAAAGATTATAATTTTGTTTAAACAATAATTCGAAATTGAATTTTGAATGAAATAGAATTCGAATATGAAATTCTAGTGAAGATCAGCACTTGTAAATAATGAACAACTCTTCTTTTTCTTGTTTGTTAAATTAAAATAATAGAATGGAGCAGACAATTAAATGAATAAATATCACAGCAATAAGTGGCTCAATGATTATGGTCATTCGATTAGCTTTATTAAGGCTTGCTGTTGCCAGATCACGATTGCAACGATCACCGATACATGCACAATGTAGTTCTTCCTCCTCATTGCTCATCCATTTATGTGAACAACCAAGTTGAATCTATAACAAGTAAAATTTTTCACCTGCTATGAACATTATCAAAACTTTGGCAATGTTGTCAAAATTCTGTACCTTTAAATGCTTTAAGAATATTCTGAACTTCTAAATTATTTAACATTCCGAAACTTTAGAAACAAAAGGTATATAATAATAAACTTTTCAAGCGTTTTATTTGTCTTCAAACACTTTACTATTTTTGCATTCTTTTAAAAAGATAAGTAAAATGTGAAATTTAAATAAATTCCGCAGTTTATCTAAAACAACTAAAATAGAAATTTCAATTAAAGTTTTAAGGGAAGAAAAAATGAAATTCAAACATGATGATTATCGGTAACATTAATACATCCTTGAAGTTCATTTAAGAATGATTTTTGTTGTTGATATTGTTTTGTTGGGAGAAATAATCGTTGCGTTACAAGGGTACAGTAATGTCCTATGCATTGATTTTGCTTGCACGATGCAGTCATTTTAGTATCTTCCGTACTTAATTCACAATTAACACATCTATGCAATTCTGATGGAAAATTATTTTCTCTGCAAATAAAACAAATTATTGCTTAATGAAAAAAAAAAATGTTAAATTAATTTCTTAATTAAAAATTCCTAAAATTATCATAACACTAATTAAGCAACTAGGTAAAATATAATGATATTATATCTTTATTCTAAAATATGAAAATTTAATTAATTGATTATTCAATGTTTACTTTTGATTTACAAGAAGAGATCGTATTCGAGTAGCTCCTTCCAGATGATTCCATGGTGTTGAACGTTTATATGCAACATTGCAATTATTTGTATTACATATGCAATGTTTACGTGGAGAACTGGAACCTCTAAAATTAATAATTATTCGACAGAGCAGAAAGAAAGAAATTATGATAGCATGAGAAGAGAAATGACAATTGATAGAGATGAGAATGATTTTTGATTGATATAAATGATAAAGATAAAGCTTCACTCTATCTCTGTGCTTACACTATTTTCTGTTTAATTCATTTTAACTAATATTTTTATTAGCATTTGAATAGTGCTAAGTTTTGATTATTGATGAACGGCGAATTTATGATAAGTTGTCCATCCATAATGGAGAATAAATATATCGTCGTGAAATTTGTCTAAATATTATGAATTTGATTAAGAATTTTAGTAATTTCATTATTAATTATTCATAAATTTGTCTATATCACTATTGAAATATTGATAATAATAAAATTCAAAAATTTCTGTTTTATATTATCAAAAAAAAAAATTTTATAAAGTTTTAGAATTTAGGAAGTTTATGAATTGTTGAAATAATTGTGTAAAAACTTCAAAGATGAGAATTTATTACATTCAAATGAGTTAGCCAACTTTTGCTGAGTACATCCTTCGGAATGACAATATATTAATCAGTTGTGATAATTAGCAATTGTTAAATTTTATTTCATTACTAACAAGGGTTTAAAAAAAAAGCTTCTTTCTTTATCTTTGATTTTATCACATCAAAAAAATGTTACATCAATACTTTCGGGAGGAATTTTTCTTGTTTAAAATTTATGGCTACAATAATAATAATAATAGACAAATAAGAAAAATGTTGAATAGTTGTGTGAATAAACAAAATAATGTATAAATTAATGAATGATTTACCCATACAGTAAGAGCAATCATACAATAAGAACAGAGAATTGGAAAGCATTAAATTTTACCTGCTAACGGTAACACACATCCGTGTACGATAGTATAACAATTCTGGTCCCTTATAAAAGTAAGGTAATGAGGGAGGTCCATAGCCGCATCCAGCAGCTCCTACAATGGTATTACTGGATATTGCTAGAAATTGAACTAATTTTTTTCCACTTCATTATATCATCAAATGAATTTGTATCCGTAATTTTTTATTATAAATTTTTATAAAATGACAATTTATTTTCTAATAAACTATTAAACAAATTTTTAATACGAATTTCCAGAAACTTTTTAAATTTTATTACACCTGTTATAGAATCCTCATAACACCATTGTCCCCGACATGTTTCACCACAATCTGGTTCTCGATCCGAACAATTTCGACATGTGATAATTTGCCGATGCATCGGCCTTATATAAATCATATCATTACAAAATTCACCTGCAAAAATTTCAATCAATACTTAAAAATCATTAGCAATAATTTTTAGTTCTCTTGTAGAAATAGCAAATTTGAAGGCACAATTCATTTTTGTAATATCTTAAATGAATACTTATTGGATTGATATTAAAATTTGGATATGAAATGAAAATTTTCCATTTTATTTCTTGTTAATTAAAAATTAACGCTATCCTTGTCTTATAATTTAATTAAATATTTCTAAAACAATTAAAGGATCCGTTAATATTTACTATAAATTAACAATAAACCGAACGCATTGTTAACAATTTTTTTTTCAGCAAAAAATTACACATAGCTTTTTAACTTTCCCCTCAAACTGGCTTTGTCATTTCAAAATTTCATCACGTAATTACAATACTTTTTTCATTTGATTAACAGAAAAAGAAATGAAGAATAAAACGAGTCAAATAAACTAGCAGCCAAAATATTGGCTATAATTTTAATTTCCATTTTTTTTGTCTTCATTTTTCTTTTTTGATTATTTTCTGAACTTTTCAATATATCCTATAGCATCAGTGTCAAAATGTCACCATTGAAATTTCAACAAAATATTAAAGTCATTCACTTTTTTCTCCAATAAACATTTATATGAATGGAACGCAACCATTCTGTTTGTGTTCCATTCGAATCTCTCTCATTTCTACTATTCAAATTGCTATCACTTTATAGAAGTAGAATACTTTATAGAAGTTTATAGAAAAAGAAAAATTCGTTGCAGATATATCGGTGATGAATATTTCATATCGTTGCAAATATATTCGATAATGAATATATAAATGAAATTTTTGTCTTTTTTTTTTGCAAAAAATGCACAAATTTATATAATTACCTCTACAAATGCATAGGATATGATCTTGAAAACGATCATAATCGCAACCCATATGAGTACGTGGTGGCCTTTTAATACATCCCTTTGTGATCCGATAATGATCCCTTTCATCGGTTGGTTTACGTTCAATAAAACAATAATCCGCTTCGCAGGAACCCATCTAAGAGATTATAAAATGAAATCTCATTAAATTTAATCTCTAATTTGTAATAAATTAAGATCTTTGTTAACTATTACTATTTGCTTCGTTTTATATTTGAAAGTTAATTTATTATGATACAAATATTAGCATCGGAATAAAAAGTATTATAGGAATCATATAATTATAAAAGTTATGAGGTGAATAATTTAATCTTTTCGATGTTTTAGATATATCATATATCTTCCGAGAACACTCAAAATACATGAAAATTTTAATTGAAACGATATAATATAAAATTTGCAGTATGTTTTTTATCAGTTCGATTTAAAATTACAATAGATAAATACTAACCTGACAATTACACGGTTCACTGTAACACGTGCCAGCGCATGAATAACAATGCGAATTAACTTGATGAATTATAAATATTGTAGGTGCCAACATGATGTGCGATAAATATGTTATTAACATTTTAAGTCGAAAATTAGCATCCTAAAATAATGATTGAAGTATATATAAGAGAATAAATGGTTCAATGTAAGGAAGGAAATTATTTAAATTTAAGAAATCATTAAGAGGCGATGTAATAGTTGTAATAAAGTGATTGAGCAAAAGAAGTCATTGGTGGTATGATGTGGCAGTTGCAATGAAATTTTTAAAAATCATTGAGAATTAAGAAATGAAAAAATTTCTACCTCACCGTTATACTTCCTCCCTCTCTCTCTCTCTCTCTCTCTCTCTCTCTCTCTATCTTATTGTTTCTTTTAGGTGCCATTTCAATGAATAATTTGCAATAATTAATTAATACTATTCATTAAAACAATATATTATTGATAAATTGTTTAGAATTGAAATTTCAAAATCACCGTAAAAAGCGTAAGATTAAATGTTTTATCTTCTTAGTGTTAAAAGAAAAAGAAAGAGTTATTAATTTGGATTAAAATAGAAAATAACATTTTAGTCTAACAACACTATTAATCATTAACAGGTATAAAATGATAAGTAAGCTATTATAAGATTTTTTGAAACACTTACCAGCTGTTTAAAATGATTATTGACATTTTTGAGATTAGGAGCAGAAAATTTTTAAATTTCAACTGATATTTTAGTTACTTGATTTTAACAAATTTAATGAAAGCTTTTTTTCAAAATAAATATGCGAATGATTGATTAATTCTATGAGTATTCGAGCAATTGAAAAATATCGCTTTTTCTATTTCAAACTTATTTTATGTTTCTCTATCATACCTTTCATTATAGCGTTATTATGACAGAGTACAACAATTGATCCGATACATACTTATTGAAAAGATTTTCTGATTAAAATTTAATTCGATAAGTCTAAAAGTTTTTAAAACTTTAATTAACTTTATTAAAACAAAATCTAGGTAGGAGAAAAATTATCAATAGATTATACCAAATCAACAGGTTATCTTATTTGTTGAATGTAAAATAGAATAAAAATAATTTGAAAATGAATGAGTGAAGCTCAAAAATAGAAATTCATCCTTCACATTTCTTTTGCAATTAAAAATTGAAATAAAAATCTTAGACTATAATTTAAATTGATTGGTTGAAAATCATAGCGTTCATTTCTTCCTTTTTACTATTTTTCACACGGAAAAGGAAAAATATAAATAAATAGCTTAAGTAAAAGGAAATTGAAGAAAATTATATGTATCAACTATGAATAATTAATTTCATATCTTTTTTATTTATGATTTCAGGAAAATTTGTTTACATTAAATTTTGACGAACATTTTACCTATGATTAAATCAATTTAATCAATAAAATTGATTGATAGTTAACTAAAATTTTATTAAAAATTTTGATGTAAGAAATCAATAAACGACAACTGCTGATCGTTTTTACTAAATGAATGATAAAGAATATTAACGGATAGGTAAAGTTGATATAGTAAATCAATTACTAATTAAGTAATAGAGTATCATTTAACTGAAAAGGAAATCACTGATGATGATTAGGAAAGGATAAATTAGCATCAAAAAAGGATAACTTAATGATAACAAATAATAAATAGCTGATATCATTCAAAAAGCTTGTATACTAAGCATGCAATATTATCGTAACATTTTATAAGCCACCTGTTGATTTAAAACAATCTATTATTATGTTAATTATTTAGTCTGTTAATTTAAGACAATCTATTATTAATTCTCTAATTATTAAAAATGTGCTTATTAAATTTTTAGCTATTTATTGAAAAATTCAGTAATGCATGCTATTGTTTGCTGTAATTACAAATCATATCAAATGTTAAATTAATCATACCAAATTCCAAATTATCATTTTGAATGAATTAACATTGTTTTCATCTTTATCATTCTCACATCAACAATATCCATCATTTTCTTCTCGAATATATACCAATTATACCATTGTTTGATTTCATTCAAATGCACAATAAAAATAGTTTAAAATAAATCTAAAAATTTGATCAAAATAAATAGTATCATTTTATCTAACCGCTTTCAATTGAAAATTCTGAGAAATTGATGTCTATGGACCGGAAAGGATGAATATCTTCGGTTGTTGGTTTAATGATAATATGCAGTAGTAGTAGTAGTAGTAGTAGTAGTAGTAGTAATAGTAGTTCATTACTATATTTTTCTTCATTCCTTCTCCTCCTCAATTCATTCCCATTTCAATTCTAACAACCTTAAAATTAGTCCTTATCGCTATGATAACAGCCTTCTCTCCATCATACCTATCATTAAAATTTTTCGCAGAAAATAATATCTATCGTAAATGAAATTGGTGCTAACAAAAAAATTGTTAGTTAGATAGAGTGTTAAATGAATAATTTGCATATGCTTTAAAAATTATTCTTTCTCTCTTTCTTTCATTTCTCTCAAATTTATTCTTTCACTTTTCATACAAAACTTTCCACACGAATTCGATATCGAAATTCAGACGATTTTTTGAAATGAAACATCAGAATTATATGAAATGCTTTCATATCTTCAATATTGAATTCAATAGTAAATTTTAAAAATCAGTAAATTTTATACTAATACTTATTACATTGAGGTTAATATTGAGGTAAAAGGTTAATTGATTCATACTTTTCATACGAATTCAATATCGAAATTTAAGCGATTTTTTGAAATGAAACTTCAGAATTATATAAAATGCTTTCATATCTTGTTTTAAACTGATACTTATTACATTGAGTTTAATATTGAGGTAAAAGGTTAATTGATTATTGGCATAATCATTACATCCAATTAACTCCAAATATAAATAAGAAACAAATAGCATTAGTTAATTGATTTATGATTAATTTAAAATATTAAAGAAGAAATATGCGTGGTATCAACAAAAAAGTACTAAATCACATTAATAAATAATATAATAAATAAATGAAAATACAATCTTAATTATATCAAATGCTTCTTAACAGTTTGATAAAATTTTTGCTAACAATTTTTAAGTTATATCTTAAAAAGCAAAATAAAATAAAAGATAAAATTTTTTTAAATATAATAAAAAAAATAGGAAAAATTTCTAATCAAACAAGAATGAAATGTAAAATACTTGTAGAGAGGAAATATAGGAAAAGAGGTTAAAACGCATCATCAACCAAATCTATGAAAATATGAAAAATGAAATTAGTGAGCCATAAACGATAGACTGGTAACAATAGCAAAGTGGATTGATAAACAGATGGATAAAATATTCGTGTAATTTGCATCGTCTACGGTTTTTGTGATTGATACGTAATAAGAGACATTAATAACATATCTTCCATTGCTTAATAGTACTTTAGCAAAATCTCTAATTTCATCGCATTCATTTCAATTCTTCTTAACCCTTTGTACCTATTGTTAATTTGACCTTTGATATTGATAAAGTGAAAGATAATAATTTAATAATTTATGATACTTTACTAAAGTTTCCTTTGTTTCTTTCAATGTAATAATTCATTGATGTAACTAAATGAATAAATAGATCAAGCAAAAATTAACCTATAATAATAAATCATAAAAGGTTTTCTTTCAGATTTAAAAGAGTTCCGATAACGAAGACGATGATAGATAACTAGTATATATCAGGAAAAGCAATGAATATCTACCGTACATCGTCGTCCGAATTATAACTAATAGGCTTTTCCCTTTCGACTTCAACAAATTTTAATTAAATTTAAATTTCTGGATATATTAAGAAAGAGACAAACCTCGGGATAGATAGATTATACAGGGTTAGGGTTAGGCTATCATAAAAGAGAGCACACATTTCAAATGATTGAAAAGGAATATTGTTCTCATCAAATATCCATTTTTTAATGAATAACAATTTATCTTCTTTCATCTTCTATTTTCTCTTTCCTTGTTTGGAACATCAACCTTTTCCATTTAAATTCTTTAAGAGAAAAATTCGTTATATATTATATTATATAAACTTCAAGGTTACATATATTTTATAGACGTAAAGGTTAAATTAAAATGAATCCATTTTATTTTGCATAGTTAAAAAAGAACTTCGTATTCTCTTTTCCTTCTCACTTCAACCTTCTAAGCCTTTTATAATTAATCCTTCTTGTTTTAACTGATCACATCGAGCAAATAGTTTGTTATTGCAATGATTTTTGATTCACTAAAAGTTGAAATTGAGAAAGCGTAAATGAATGAGAAAGTTAATAATTGAATGTCAAAGAATGCCTCTTTTGAAATTATTCAATATCGAGTTGAGTATAGTTATGGGAAATCAAAGAATTGAATACTCGAGAAATCTCGAACAATGCTCTAACTCTATGAGAAAGCTTATTTGTTAATTTTTTATAAAACAGATTCTTTCTTTTTTGTTTATAAAGAAATTCTAAAATAGCGATTCATATTTCTATAAAGGATAATATTAAAATTGAAATTTCTTATTTTATGTTTTCGAATTTGTATTTCTAAGAATCAAAGAAACTGGAAAAATGCTTCCTGACAGCATTTACTATTATTCTTTGGATATTATTTTAATATAAGCGAATGAATTTCATTAAGTGAAT